ATTTAAAAAAATAAAATTATATTTATTTAAAGCAATAAGTCTGGCAAAATGGCTATGTCTGTTAAAAATCTATACTCAATCATAATCTTATAATAGTCATTAAAGATAAAGATTCAAGCAAATGATGTCAAAATCCGTTTTTCAAAGTCATATATTAAAATATTTGATTGATGAAATTGTGATAATTTTATTCAATGAAATGTTCTGTATATTCATAGTTTTCTACTATAGAAAGTGAATAGAGAAAAATGTATTTTCTGTTTAAAGGTGAAAATTAAAACAGCTAAACACAACAAACTGCAGTCAGAAACTATAAAATGGCCATATTTCTATGACAGACCAAAAGGATAAGAAATAACAAAATTGAAAAGAAAAACATGATTGAAAATAATTTAACTATCATTACATTGCAGTCCTGGTGGTGTATTGGTGTTACCCATTAGGCTGCTAATCAGCTAATGGCAAGGTCAGAAGCTCGAAAACACCAGCAGCTCCATAGGAGAAAGATGAGGCTTTCTACTCCCACAAAGAGTTACAGTCTCAGAACCCCATGGGTCAGTTCTACCCTGTCTTGTAGAGCTGCTATGGGTCAGCGTTGGCTTGAAAGCAGTAAGTGGGAATGATTCCAGTTTTTAGAGGTAGAAAGACAAACTCTCCCCCAAAGCTTTCATAAACTACAACATTAATGATTGGATCAGTAAACAAGTCGCTGTCCATTGGATTCTGAGCACCAAGTTCTCTTTCTGGGTTAGATATTTAACAAATAATTAAATGAATAGCCTTATCTTTATTCGTGGAAAGTGTTCATTTTCTTTATTCTATTTTATTTTACTGGACCTTTTATCGTACAGTGAGTGAAGGTTCACAGAGCAGATCATTAGTTTTAAATCCAATGATTCCTACAGCTTTTTGCATCAACTTATCTGGTGCAGATCTCTCGGTGTAGCATCACTTTTTCCTAACCCTTTTAGTGGTCTAAGTTTTGGTGACCTCATCTATTCGAATCTTTTAAAATTATCTGTTTTATTAAAATCTTTGGGTTATAAGGCTATTCTGATTGTAAAACGTTTTTTCCTCCAGTGGCCAGATAGTTGAATTCAAAATAGCTCTTTTGAAATAACAACACTAGAAAATTATTGGATTTCAAGTCAGGACTCCTCCTTAAAATCTTCTAGACTTTGCCAATTTATGTTCTAACTCTAGAAAAATAAATGTCATTCTATGTTCACCCTACTATAAGAAGAGTTGGTTAAGTCATTTCTGAAGTCCTATGAAGTTCTAATGGCCAATTTTCTGTGAAACTTTCATGTGCTCTGAACAGTGATTGCATCCCTACATCTAAGCAGTCTCTGTGGGCCCAGGATAAGGGCCAGAGTGCCCAGAATCCCAGAAGGACTGGTTCTAAGGGCTGAGTTCTTCTCTTCCATTAAGGGAGGAGGCCAAGTAGAGGACCAAGTAGACAGGCTATTTAAATAACTATTTAAGCATCACCAAAACCAAAAACAGCAAACAAACAAACTTACTGTATCGAGTCAATTCCAACCCAAGCAGAGAGCAGAGCTACTCACTCCCTCAGGTTTTCTAGGCTATAATTGTTACAAAAACAGTTCATCGGTTTACTCAGCTGACCCACATGGGGTCAAAGGTTCAAAGGGCCAACCACTTCAACCAATCAGGTTTCTCACTTAGGTCTTGCATACTCAATAATTCCAATAAACTACAGCCTGGTCAGGGTTGTATCCTCTTGCCATACTTATTTCATCTGCCTGCTGAGCAAACCATTAGAGAAGCTGGATTATGTGAAGAAGACTGTGAAATCAGGACTTGAGAAAGGCGTATTAACCACCTGAGATTTTCAGATGACACAACCTTGCTGAGAGTGAGGAGAATTTGAAGCACTTGCTGATCAAGATCAAGGATTGCAGCCTTCCATATGGATTACAACTCTTTATAAAGAAAACTAAAATCCTCAAAACTGGACCAATAGGCAACACCATGATAAATGGAGAAAAGATTGAATTTGTCAAGGCTTTCATCTTACTTGGATACACAGTTAATGCTCATAGAAGCAGCAGTCAAGAGATGAAATGACACATTGCATGTGGGTAAATCTGCTGCACAGGACTCTTTAAAGTATTAAAAAGCAAAGATGCTACTTTGATGGCTAAGGTGTGCCTGACCCAAGAAACGGTGTTTTCCAATGCCTCATAGGTGTGTGAAAGTGGGATACTGAGTAAGGAAGACTGAAGAAGAACTGCTAGCAAGGAATATTGAAAGCACCAGGGACTGCCAAGAGAACCAACAAATCTGTCTTGAAAGAAGCACAGCCAGGATGCTCTTTAGAAGCAAGCATGGTGGGACTTCCGTGTATATATTTTGGACATGTTGTCAGGAGAGACCAGTTCCTGGGAAAGGCCATCATGCCTGGTAAAGCAGAGGGGCAGCAAAAAAGAGGAATACCCTAACCAATGGATGGACGTGGTGGCTGCAACAATGGGCTCAGACATAAGAACAATTGTGAGAATGGCTCAGGACCAGGAGGTGTTTCCTTCTGCTGTACAGAGCATCTCTATGAGTTGGAACGACTCAACAGCACCTAACAACAACAACTACGTAGTCAAGGTAAACACCTGTGCTTCTGTCTTCTTGGTTTGCCAATTGTTAATGCTGAAACTATGCAGCTGGAACCAATCATCAGTAGCTCTAAGCTTCAGTTCCCCTGCTTAAAAGATAATCATTAACACTCTATAGACCACACAGCAACATCATAAGGATCAAAACCAAAATGAGATCTTGTAGATAAAAGTCTTTGGTAAAGTAGGAAGCTCTGTAGACATTTGGAAAAAATACTTTTATGGAGGACAGGGTATGCCCAAAATCCATTTGCAGGATCCCCCACATAGATTAAACCTCAGGTGAATCCCTTCTGACCCTATTCCTGGGCTGTGACTAGCCTTGATATCAGACAGAGAGCAATGTAAAGTCAATTATGGTAGATGTAGTTGGGTTAAAATGTAATACTTTATCATTTGATCTCCCTTTTGATTCATTTTAAACTTGCTTCACTTTTTAATATTTTCTGTTTTCTTTGCATTTGAGGTGTTTTATTTATTTACTCACTTATTTTGAGCTGTTTCTATGCTTTGTCTAGTCATTGTTGTTGCTTTTTTGTTTGTTTTCTGTTTCTGTTTTATATAATTTTCTGTACACAAAATCCAGGACAGGTAGATCTATAGAGAAGTGGATAGGGGCATAGCAAATAAGGGGAGGGGGGTACACGCCAACAACAATAAATATGAGAAGAAAATGTTTTGACATTAATTGTGCTGGTGATTGCACAAGTCTTCTTAATATCATTGAATGAGTAAATTGTATGATATCTGAAGTTCATACCAATAAAACTTTTTTAAAAGAAAGAAGAGTTATTATTACAAGACAAAAAATCAATAATTGTCAAAATAAACCACAATGCATCCATCTCACTCTAGTCAAAATAAGGACCTATCTTTCTGTGTGATGCTTCATCCTATCAACCCAGGGTACTTCGAGAGGAAAGAATTGTCAAAGTAAAGAATTTCCATTACACAAAATCAAAGCCCAGAGTTTTCTGAGCAGTCATAATCTTTATTTTCTTAATAAATCACTTTATTGGGGGCTCTTATCACAATCCATATATCAATTGTATCAAGCAAAGTTTTACATATGTTGCCATCACCATTTTTAACACATTTTCTTTCTACTTGAGCCCTTGGTGTTAGCTCATTTTCCCCTTCCCCCACCCTCCCTCATGAACTCTTGATAATTTATCAATTATTGTGGTTATTATTATTTATTTGCATGTCTTACACTGACTGCTGTCTCCCTTCACCCACTTTTCTGTTGTCTGCCCTCCTGGGAAGGGGTTATATGTAGATCACTGTGATAAGTTCTGCCTTTCTCCCTCCACCTTCCCTTTACCCTCCTGATATAGCCTACTCTCCTTATTTTTCCTGAGGGTTTTATCTGTCCTGGAGTCCTGTGTTTCCAGCTCTTATCTGTACCAGTGTACGTGCTCTGATCTAGCCAGATTTGTAAGGTAGAATTGGGGTCATGAAAGTGGTGGGGGGACATTAAAGAACTAGAGGAGACTGGCTCAGTTCTTCCTTGTGACCCTTCTGAAAGGGGATGTCCAATTGTCTATAGATGGGCTTTGGGTCTACACTCCATGCTCCCCCTCATTCACATTGATATAATTTTTTTGTTCTGAGTCTTTGATGCCTGATACCTGACCCCATCAATACCTCATGATCACACAGGCTGGTGTGC